ATTCCTAAAACTTTTTAAGGGAATTTAGTAGTTCATTGTGTTTTTTCAACATCCAAACAAGAGAAAAATTGGGGCAGTTAATATTTGGTCGGACTAGGTCACAAAACATTTCAGTCAATTTGTGGCATTTTTGTATAAGACTTGCAACTACTAAAACATAGATATAGTTTCCTGTGTAAGGAAATTGGAGAAGGATCTGGAGTTCAGAGTGGTAGCAAAATAAAGCACATTATGCCTTTATGTGCATTATATGTTATGCCAGAGATTATTGAGATAATATACTATAAGAGTAGCAAGAAAAAGGTCTAAATTGTATTGAGTGTAAATGAGTTAGCTAGACAACTTATTTCATATCAGATTCCAGAAAACATATAAATGAAACTTAGGTAAGTGTAGTAGTATCTTAACAACAAAGAGAAGTCTTTGTTTCTCACTGTCATGAGATCACACCTGTAAACACATATCTTTTGACAGTAATCCAGGGATGAAAAAATAATAGATGTATTGGGGAATTTTATTTTACCTTCAACAATGTACTCTAAAGAGTGGAGATTTCTGTATATTTTCTTTCCTTTCTGTGCTTTGGAACTTAAATTCACTGTTCTTAACACTGCACAACTATGTCTATCCTTTAGGGAATATTCCTTCAGATACATATAAATATTTAAAACATTTTGTTTTCTTGTTTCCTCATATCTTTATATTGCTTTGATAATTGTGGTTTTCTTACTTAGTCACAATTTTAAAAATTATTTTGTGATCAATGTCAAGCTCTCTTCACTTTTTTAAATCCCCAACACATTTAGAGAAAATAAATTTTAGATCATTTAAAAGGTCACATCTCAGAATTTTTTTTCCAGCACTCCCATCTCTTTTCTGAGTCTTCAAAACATAACTTGATGATGCAGGCATTTGACTTCTGGTTTACATGTTATAAAGGGAGTTTTGAAATGAAAGGATTCGTTAAATTCTGTGATCTTGAACAAATATTTTTCCCTCCAGAAAGTTTGTTCTGAAAGTGCAAGACCAGAAACAGCCTTTTATTTTGACATTTTAGGTCAAGGTATTTGCAATATCAAGTCTCCTGTTCTTTTACAGACTTTCCATCCAGTCAATTCTGTAGTTGCTGATAAGCATGTTAGCTCAGGAACTCCATCAGTTTTATCAGCATTTCCACTTGCTATTGCATTAATATATCACAGCTTTAAAATGTTACACTTGATTTTTTGTCATTCTATTAGGATCCCTGCATCCATCTCAAGTAATCAGAAGAACAAGTCTATGTACTGAAACATTATGTAATCTTCCTTACTCTTTTAAGGTTTTAGCTATGAGGGTGCTCTCTCTCTCTCTCTCTCTCTCTCTCTCTCTCTCTCTCTCTCTCTCCCCGCAATCTTTGATTCTTATCTTCTCACCCATTCCTTGGTAAGTGCTGATTTTCTCACTCTATGGATAGAGAAATAGGTTATCATTGTAGTGTCTCATGCCCAGTTCACCTCTTAAATACAGTGTTGATGAGAGTAAGTCTTTCTTTCAAAGTATTATCATTCTTTTTAAAACATGCATATGTAGTTTGCACTTATGAAGGTTTTCTAGGTAAAATAAAATAGATTTTAATAAGTCTAATTTTTCCTTATCTGCCATCTTCCTCCTAGTTCTTCAGTACTTTCTGTTCTGTCCACAATCCCTTATTGCCACTGACATCTGTACTTTGAAAATGAGAAGTAAAATGCTATTTCCTATCCAATTCTTTATTTGATTGCATTATTAAGTAAATGAACTAAATGAAATAAAATATAGTTTTTACATTCTCTAGGCTGATTTCTATTCTTGATTGAATCATAATTGACATAAATTCTGATGTGATGTGTATGTGTCTGTGTCTGTGAGTGTGTGCATATTTTTATACATTCAAAAACTTATCTGAAGCAAAAACTGTTTTTGGTAGGAAACCTTGAATTCAACTCTACAAGAAAAATTTATATATTTTCCAAGAGTCATGGGTAAGAGCAAAGTAATATGATAGAGAAGTGTGTATACTGCTGAAATAGAATATAAATGCCAGTTATTGTTACCATGAACCATTTAAACTATAGTCCTGATATGAAGTGAAGGCCGTGGCATTGATCCCACACACTCTTATAGATGCTGATGTGAAGCTGAGAAAGAGACACTGGGAAGTCGGTGACAGCTGACTTTCTAAGGCAAATATTTTAATGTTATCACTAATGAATAAATGGGCATTCAGGATTAGGTAATCAAAATCAGATAGATAGTATCATAATGATTTTGATTATTGAAGTTTTATTTATACTGGAGTAATATTAAATTATTTTTCTTTTTCTATAATATAAGTGCTATCTATTCCTTTTATTCTAGAATGAGTTAAAGCATCTCCCAAATATTGAAATTTTAATCAGCCTTCAAGCAAATAATTTGCACATCTAAAATTAGTATATTTTGAATACTCACTTTTTTCTTAGTCTATAAAGTACCTTACTTAACAAAATACTAAGTCTAACATGCCAAAGAGGAACAAACTACCTAGGTATTTGAGAAATCATGATGAATAATCTGGATGTCAAAGAGCGAAACTTAGCTATTTGATAATTGAAATTACTAATAAATTGAGATAGCATGCAAACAACTTATAATTTCCCAAACTGAAAATATTATATTAAATGAAATCACATTTGTTAATGCAGTGCATGTTTAATCTACAGTTAAAACATTATTAAAATCAAGTTAATTTACTCATAAAATGATTAGGTCTAAAAAGAGCAATTAAAATGAATATGCATTGTTAGGTACTTAGAATAACCCATTTATTTTAATTTTACATAGCAAACATGTAAATAAACATGTAACTTTAATTTAAATAACATAGAATAAAATAGTTCAGATAATAAGTGTGAAATGGGTAACTAACAGCAATAAAAAATTGTATTTAAAATGTTATACTTTTTTCTGCAAATTTATATCTACAGAGTGACACTAAATCAATACAGCTTTCAGCAACTTTGTTATTTATTTAGTTTAAGATGATCTTTTATTTATTTGAAATAATTTTCTCATCTTCAGGGATATCATTAGTGTAACATCCAAATAATAATAAATTTTGCAGTGAATACATTCCTGCCTTGTGGTTTATTCATGATACAAAGGATTAAGAAAATAGCGTTTTTTTAATAAACTCTCTATTTAATTTTTTCCAAATACTTCCTTTGGAAATTGAATTGCTTAGACTCATCTTGATGATTTGTATTGTCAAAAGACAAAATTGCAACAAATTTAGTTTAGAAATCTTTAATTGATTTTTGTTTGTGACTCTAGAATTGGGTAACACCTCATTCTGTAAAGTAGAATGAGTGTTCCGATGAGCTGAGCAGAGGAGGTTGGCTTTATAAGACAGGAAAAAGCTGAGGAAAGCAGTAACAGAGAACAAAAGGCAGGCTGATTCTTTCAAAGTTACTTCCCTTGTAAAGATTAAAGCAGAGAGGACTTCCTTATCATGCCAGCTAAAACTGTCCTGTTTGGGGATTTGGCATTATCTCTCTCCCCTGGTTTCTTGGAAGCTCAGATAAAAAACTTAATTTTGCCTTAGTGGCATGGAATTTCAGCAAGGAGTAATTCCATTTTGATTTGGTTTGGTCTGTATAGCCTCCTATAAATTTACTTTAATAATAGCACTAGGAATTCATTTACAAAGGGAAAAAGTAAAATTATGTTCATCAGGCTCAGTGTGATATTTGATTGACAACGTCATTAATTCCCATTAATGTTGATGCCAGTACTTATTAAGAACAGAATATATGACAGATGAAAAATATTTTGCCAAGATAATGGTATTCCATAATCTCTATAGCATCTCCATGATAAGCAAAATTGACAGTGAGTGATATATATAAACGTCCCCTGTCCAGTACTGGGATCTCAAAAATACAGCCTCTGATTTTCAAAGTGCTTTGCTAAAACCTATATATGTTTATGATAAATTTTTAAAATAATTTCTAAAACTCTACAGGTACATTCTGTGATAAATGTCACTTTTAGATAACTTT